CTGAGAACATTAAATGAATATTTTTAGATGTCTGGCATGCCTTAAAACAGTAACTGTTATATTTTAAAGGACAAATTGGAATATACTTCTCAAGGATGGTTTAAACATACTCAGTGTCCAGCAGCAGAAAAGAGGCCAAATGATTTGTTGAGAATTGAGATATCTTTCTAGTCTCCATTTCTATGCTATAACTTCTGTTCCATCTAGATACTGCATACTCATATCACACCAACAACCACTTGAATTCTCAATCAACATAGATTCTAACTAAGAATCATTTAAGAGTGGATACATACAGATTGTCTATGAAAATTACCATGCAAACTAGAAAGGCAAGTAACAAAAATATCTCAGCGAAAACTGTGTGGTATTCCATATACTAATTTAGAGAATTTGCTTCTTAAGGTCATATTCTTGTCTTCAAAGTAGAAGCCAAAGTGTTTAAAATGCAACGCACTTAGACTGTGAAAGCTACACCAGTCACGTCTAACATCTTTCAGCACTTTTCAATTTTAACATATGCACTATATAAGCACAAAAGATGGTTTTCGGCTTTATAGAGTAAAGCAGAAGTTTAACTATGTTTGCATTGTCAATAACAAATATTCTGCAACTACACTGTAACTATCTTTTAAATGACTGTGTTCTTACGGATAAAATGTGCATTTGTGAGAGGGGTGTGCGTGCTTGTCTGTCTGGAGAGAGTTTAGTTATCAGGTGCTACTTTTACATAGTCAGTTTTCAGATCACAACAGCATTCTAGATGATTAAAGGTGATAGGATGACTTATTTTCAGACACAAACGTCCTTCTTGTACTACAAAGCACACACGTTAGTTGTACTGTTACAGTCATATGTAGCAGAAGCAGTAAGAAAAAAATCAATTCTTTTAAAAAATATAATTATTTAATCTTTATGTCAAAAATGCAAAGATTATAAATATTAAAAGCTATTCAGTGTTTCTAAAATATCAATCATGATCTATTTTTCTTTTCCAAAGCCATATTTGATACACACATCATTTCCCCCAACCCTGCAGCTTCACATGTTAACTCCTTGCAGGAACACCACAAGCAACTGAGCAACTATATCCCATATCAGCTCAGTGTCATTTAGATTATTTTGATGAGTAAAAGCAACAGCTGTCATTATTCCACTAAGTTGTAATTACACTGGAGAATAATTAGAAAGTTATCACTTATTTTTTTCCACTTGAGAATAAATTAAAACTTAAAATTTGGATTTAAATGTCTTCCTTGTCTTGGAAGAGACAATATTTTTCCTGTATACTTTAGTATTCCTATTAGTCTCTGTAACATTCAAACTACAATAGATGAACAGTATTTCAATTCAACAATAAAAAAATATAGCATACTGTTGGTGTTGACATGAAACCTCCATGTTCTTGACCCAAACTCTATGGTGTTGTTATTAATTTCATATAATTTAGACTTTTTTAGTAGTTAGAATTCATTTAAAGCTCACCTTACAGTTTAATGTTTCATTTGTTTCACCAAACCTTGCAAAGCACAGTTTTGCCATTATTTACATTTACCAGAAACCTACCATTAAAACACCAAAAGACCACCAGTCTGCACTTTGTGTATGGCCTCGTCTATTAACCACTTCTGGTGCCATGTATTCCACTGTTCCACAGAAAGAGTAGGCTTTTTTTTCGTGATCAATTGACTCCTTACTTAAGCCAAAATCTGGAAGAAAAAAATAATAGTTCTAAATTGGTTTTTTTTTAATCACTCATGTGAGGTTAATACTTCCACCATAACGTGAAATGTGATGCTTATATCACTTGTATATACACTCAAATACACATATGGGAACTACAGAATTCTCCTCCCTTCGTTGCATTATCACAGGTCCATAACATCAGATACACTTGCAAAGCAGGTATCTTATTTATATCCTCATATATTTCATTTATTTCAAATTAATTACACTATTTGCTCCACAGCAAAAGTATCTACCAGTTAAAGTTACTTACTTTACCATATTACTTTACCAAAAAAAGGAAAATGCAAAGATTTTATTATGAACAGAAAAGATCCAGGTGTTGCAATTTCCCTTTATTCACCTGTCAATTTGATATGTCCTTCCTCATCAAGCAGGATGCTAAAAAACAATAAAAAGAATAAGATAAACTAATTGAAATATCTTTTAACTGTTGTTTCAGACAAGGTACTGACACTGTTTAAGAATAAACATAACAGCATACACAAAGATAAGCAAAATTGAACATGTATAAGATGTATAGAAGATAAATTTTATTTTCCTTCAACTCTTCTTTTCTTTTTAAATTTTGAAACATAATCAGTGTATCAGTTTTAACTAACTATTTGGTTAAATTCAGCACAGTAAATTAAATTCAGTAGTAACATTTATCTTGAATTTTCAGTTTTGGCCATCTGCAGCGTGTGTCATTACGACAATTGTTAAAAATAGAGATATAGTTCTATTTCTCTTAAACTGAGCAAGACCTGTTAACACAATGTATGTTTGCATATGCATACAAAATAGTTATTCACTTGCAATTACTGTTTCAAAGCGTATTGAGCACTTCAAATAACATCAAGTAACAAATATTCTTGCGTTGTACCAAAGGACACAACCCATGGGCCCTACACTTAGAGCAGGACTTGTGCTTCTGTCTGTTCATTTCAATCACAAAAAAGGTCATGCTTCTCTGAGATGCCAACTATCCTTAACCAGCACTGAATATAATGGCAATTCAAAGCATGCAAAGTATTCAAGAACTGGGATCTATAACATCACCTACACAGTGGACTTAGTTCCTTCAGCTTCTCCTATAGGGAGCAGCGTTTCATCCTGGGGATGAGACATGACCCAGGTACACATGACTTGATCATTCCCCTGGTCCTTCCCTTTTCCTCCTTGCAGTTTCCATGGTGGGCAACAGCCCCACAGTATAGATACAGCCTGTGAGAGTTACTCATCCATAGCTTGATAACTGGCAAGGTTTTTTAATCAGATAAATCCCAGTCTTAAAACCAAGGCTTTTCAATAGGTAGAGACACATATAATTTCAATTTTTTTTTTTTAAAAAGTCTGTTTGAGGCTGTAGCTATTTAGTCTTCTAACAACTACTATTTCGTTCTTTTCCTCTTGGAAGTAAATGTTAGCAAAATAACTGCAGTTCTCTTGCTTTGCCTTCTAAAATGTTTTTCCACTTGTTCAGCTTATTTTTCCTCACTTCAGAATAGTTAACAGAACACTCTCGAAGTTCAAAAATAATTAATTCCCTGTTCATTTGCAAGTGCAACCCCATGCCAAAAGTCTCCAAATATCTGATTTGCCCAAGAATCTTTCCCTCTTGTCAGTCAGGGCTAAAGATTTTTAAATCTGTGTCTTTTTTCCAGGAGATGCACAAAAGAACAAGCTATCTTAATGGAAGCTCCACGTAACAGCCAGGTTCTGTGATACTTGTTACTCATTTTTGCTCTTTTCCACTAGGATTTTACACGAGACAGTTATCTCACACAGACTTTTCAGGTTCTCCATATAGCCATAACAGAAAAGTGGGGTCACCAAAGGACATCAGGACTTCAGAGTTAATATAGATTTCCTTGCAGTGAGGCAGAGTATGTTAACTATCTAATTAAGCACAACAGAGGAGATACACGCATTATATTGTCACTTAGATTCCTCTCTGGGTAGAGTGTAACGCTACAGCATATATTTATATCTGAAAGGCTCAAACGTTTCAGATGATAGCACTGACATTTTCTTCTTTACGTCTTCTAAAACTAAAAAAAATTACTGGAGGCAAGACAAACAGGAGACAGAATTCAGTCATTTGAATGAAGCACAGATGACTAACACATTGAGACACAACATCATACCAGAATTGTAACTGCAAGCTTATTTTTGCAGTGTAATTATGTGATTGTCAATATGTTAAATACAGCGTGTGACTTACTATTCTCATATTTTACTTTAAAATGTAAACTCTATTCTGCTCTTACTGCAGTGGATTTTAAAAATCAGAGTTGGAAAAAATGTTTGCTGTTAGGCTTTCAAATGCAACGACACAACATTGAACTGCAACTTTGTATTTTGTAACATTTGTTCTAAGTTTATCTCTAGTCCAGAAATTCTACAACAATGACAAAAAAAAGGCTGAGAAGACCTTTTCTCCATTGTACACTCTAAAACACCTGGAAAATGAAAGGTAGGAACATTGCAGTATACTCTTTACTTAAAGTAACATGGATTATAATACTTGGCATATCACTCTGAAACTAGATGCTCATGTTCAAGTAGAAATGAAATCCAATCTTTTTAATTAAAATAGCCCACAAGCTTCCCCCACCTCCCTCCCTGTTCAGTTTATAAAGAAAATTACTGAAGTTTAAAAGCTGGAAAGAGAAGCACGTAGGTAGAAATGCTATACAAATCAAATTAATACACTGCATTTGCTGCAGAGGTGTCTTACTTCTCTGGTTTTAGGTCCCGGTATATTATTCCAAGACTATGTAGATGGTCTAAAGCAAGGGCTAATTCTGCCAGGTAAAATTTAACATCGTCTTCTGTGAACATCACCTGAAAATGCAAAACAATGTATTTTACATGTATTTTACATGTACAGAACGGTTCTTCATAACACTCGATTTCATTTCTATACAAACTCTTAGAAATCAAATTTCTTGGCTAGACAAAACCCAGCATTTTATAATCAACACTATTTCACAGTACATACTTGAAAACTGCAAAACTGAGATTATGTGATTGTTCAAGAACAGACACACACATTGTAGTGGGACTGAAAAACTTTGGGAAACGTTTAAAGAATGTGACTACTACTTTATTGGATGTGACCACTTCATTTCTAGACAACAAACGGACTGAAGTCTAAATGCCTGAATTTCATCTATGAAGTCAGAGAGAAGAAAAGCAAACGCATCTTGTTTCTGAGCAGATTGTCTCTAAGCACTATGAGAAAGAAGTGACAGTGATGGTAAAAACCTCAAGACGTAGCCTGAGATGCAGCCGCAGAAGAGGTAGATCAAAGAACGCACTAAGGAAACAGCCTATGTAAGATCACAGGTAAGGCCTCGGACAGCAATTCCACATTTCTAGTGACAGGACAAAGGGCAATGGCTTGAAACTGAAAGAGGGTAGATTTAGATCCAGATTACATCTAAGGAACTAATTTTTTTTACAATGAGAGTGGTGAAACACTGGAACAGGTTGCCCAGAGAAGCTGTGGATGCCCCATCCCTGGAGGTGTTCAAGCCCAGGTTGGATGAGGCTTTGAGCAACCTGGTCTAGTGGAAGGTGTCCCTGCCTGCGGCAGGGGGGTTGGAACTAGATGATCTTTAAGGTCCTTTCTAACTCCAAACCATTCTATGATTCTATTTTTATTATATATTAGTAAGATAAACTAAATACTGTTTATATTCAATGAAATGAAGATATTGTCCCAATTGTATCAACAACTGTTGTGATCCACTAACAGAAAACATTAGAATCAAATCATCTTTTTCTAAATTCTCTGAAAATTTAATTGTATCTCAATTTGTGGGTTTGTTTTTGGGGTTTTTTGTTTGTTTGTGTGTTTTTTTTTGTTTGTTTGTTGTTTTGTTTTTTAAGAATTTAAGACTAATATCTGTAGATGCTTCATCTGGACCTGGAAAAAACGGCAACGGTGAGCACAGATGAACATTATTTTAAGTAAGTGTTACACATGCAGAATACTACATATTTTCCCCTTAGTAGTTTAAAATGAGAAGGTGATATCAAAGTTTGTACAAAAGATTGTTGGTGGTGTTACTTCTACAAAAGAGCCAATATTTAGTACAGGCACATTCAAGAAGGGAAATCTCTATAAGAAACATTTAAAATCCTGAATAATGAAAGATCCCATAAGGATGATAATACACTCACATTATGTTCTTAAAAAACATTGCATGGAGTTCATCTCTCCTAGCCTTAAACATCTGCAGTGTAGACATCTAGCTCTGAATTAGTCACTTTTCCTTTGGTAGTCAAAGGGGGAAAAGCAGGAACTTTTAGGCTGCAATTCATCTATTTTAAAATCACATGAATTGATATGAGGCTGACAATTGCACTCAACATACACATTTTACACCATTAGTTATGAACACTTGGCTTAGATTCATGTACCTATAATGAACATTTCTTATCTAACCATATTAAATCTTTTAAAATTTGAGTGGCTTAAGACGAAAAAGTCATCAGTAGGAAAGCAATATACATTCTTTCTTGGGAATGAAGAAAGAACTACGGATTTTAAGAAAAAATATCTCAATTTTAGAGTACCTTTCTACTTATCTGTGGCAAAACAAACTAAAATAAGCAACTTGAAACAGGTGGTCCCCCAAGTCCTTCTCCTTAGGCTGCTGTCAATCCATTCACCGCCCATTCTGTATTTGTGCTTGGGACTGCCCCAATCCATGTGCAGGACCTTGCACTTGGCCTTGTTGAACTTCATTAGTTCTCACAGGCCCACCTCTCAAGCCTGTCAAGGTCCCTCTGGATGGAATCCCTTCCCTCCAGTATGTTGACCACACCACACAGTTGGTGTCATCAGCCACTAAGTGGTCCATCAATCAGATCCATGTCTCTCCCAATTCAGTGCGAGACAGTGTCAAATGCTTTGGACAAGTCCAGGTAGACGGTGTCAGTTGCTCTTCCCTTATCCACCAATGCTGTAACCCCATCATAGAAGGCCACCAAATTTGTAAGGCACAATTTACTCTTAGTAAAGCCATGCTGGCTGTCACCAATCACCTCCTTTTCTTCCATGTGTCTTAGCACAGTTGCCAAGAGAATCTGCTCCATGATCTTGCCAGGCGCAGAGGTGAGACTGACTGGAGTGTAGTTCCCTGGGTCTTCCTTTTTCCCTTTATAAAATGGAGGCTACGATTCCCCTTTGGCAGTTAGTGGAAATTTCACTGGACTGCCATGACTTCTCAAATTTGATGGAGAGCAGCTTGGCAACTTTATCTGACAGTTCCCTCGGGACCCGCGGATGCATCTCATCAGGTCCCATGGACTTGTGCACCTTCAGGTTCCTTAGATGGTCTCGAACCTGATCTTCTACAGTGGGCGGTTCTTCATTCTCCCAGTCCCTGCCTTGGCCTTCTGCAACTTGGGCGGTACAGCCAGAGCACATGTCAGTGAAGACTGAGGCAAAAAAGTCATTGAGTACCTCAGCTTTCTCCATATTCCGGTTATGTTTATGCAAATCATTAAAAAAAATCTGACACTAAATTGTGGATATTAAACCCAGACACAAATCAGCTAATCTGAGTCCAACTACTTTACATAAATCCATGCTTTAAGACTCATCTTTAAACACAGTAACAATTAGAAGAAGAAAATTTTGCAAGGTGTAAAAAGCAGCACAGACTGTTTGTCTATGCCTTTTTTTCAGAAACAATGTAAATTACCAACAGCATTTTCATGAAGTGACTACTTTGTGCAAAAAACCCAAGCAAACAAAAAACCTAACTGTTTAAAAAAAAAATAATTCAAAATGTCATTCAATGAAAACTAAATTAAAAAGGAAACTTTCCTAATATAGGCAATTTATAGTCAAACTTTATCAACACGCAATTTTCAAATTAAAAAAGTTTACCTCTTTGGATAAACGTGTAAACAAGTCTCCTCCCCTGAGAAAATCCAAAATAAGATATAGCTTCCCTTCTGTTTGAAAAGCTGAAAAGATAAATTGAAAAAAATTAAACATCATTTAGTTTTACCCATGATCAGAAGAATACCACCAAATAATTCACCCTTATTTTCATTATCAAAATTAATTGTTCTTCTTTTTGCTTTATGGAAAAATTTATTTAAATTAATTAAGTAACTGTGCCTTTATCATGCACCAAGTAACTCTCATGCCATGTGAATGCAAAGCAAGTCATCAATAAAAAAATAAGCTATACTTAGGTTAGTCAGCATTTCATTCCAGATTTTGGAAAGAAAAAGTCTAGATTTACAAGGGCAAATTAGTAACTACTGCACATATTCTAAAACCTCTGGAAACTCAGCTTAACACGGAGGTCTCATCTAGTTTGCAAGAGTGACAAGTAAAATAGTGAAAGTTACATTATTTAAGCCACATCAGAGAGTGATAGAGATCTGAGGTTTGAACTATAAGAAAAAATGGATCTAGAAAAAAAAACACAAACTGAAAAAAATGAACAAAAGAAAATTTTTTCAGTTTATTTTCTGCATGACATGTTAAGAGTACTGATTTCCTCCCTTTCTCCACATGAACAGTTTTTTATGGCTGTCCATACTATTAAAATTGAAAGGCATATTCCCACCGATTTTGATCTAACTTAAAAATAATGCCATTACATTTGTTTTCTATAGTGTAAATAAAGTAAGGATAAGAAATAATTTTAAATAAGTGAATGACATATACAAAACATAAGAGGTTTTGGAAAAGAATGGCTAGACATAAATAGATAATTGCTTTTTAATAAAGCAAAGGACTACAAGACTCTCAGTCCCATAAAGCTTTAATACGATGCATGAAGTTAGCCATATGCTTACTTTGCATGAGAATTACTACACAGCAAGTCTTTGCACGGTCAGGATTTAGATAGCACACTAATTTCCTATGATTCTCTGAACCACAAAGCAAATATTAGGTACTATCTTGACAAGCACTCACTTTTATGATCTAAAAATCAATTTTTCTGCAACTCACCATAATGTAACTTGACAATGAATGGATGGTTAACTTCTACTAGGATGTCACGTTCCATTTTTGTCCGAACTCTATCTCGAACTACAACAGAACATATGCAAGATTTAAAAAAAAATTTACATTGTGAATCAGTATTTCTCCTACGTTTCCTGATATACCATGGGGTACAAGGTGAAGTACTACAATCGTCTGCAGGTCACTATACACAGAAGAGACAAGAGAGAATTTATTTCACAGCGCAGGGTTTTCTGATAGATCTCTTTATGCATTTAAATTTGTTTCAGTTTCCGCTATTGGCAAAATCTGACCCTGGTAAATAAACTTAACAAAAGAACAAGAGAAAACATAACCACTCTTCAATCTGGCCTATACTTAGTTAGCTTCTTAAACAGTAGAGCAAAACTGCCACAGCTATGTATAGAAAGCACAGCCATTTTCTCCACTGTTGAAAAGTAGGGAGAGCTAAATCACAGCAAAACAAACTTAGAAACATGACACTATCATGAAGATGCTTATATTGGTTTAACTCATTCAAATAACCTGCACTATTAAGATACTAAGTGCCTCCACAATTTGGAAGGGAATTTTTTTTTTTTTGTTTCCTTTATTATCAACTTAAAATAAAAAGAACATACATTCAATGTAGTGTGTATTTCAGAGAATCTTTTTGATTTTAATAAGGTTTACTGAGAGTAAAAGTGTGCATGGAGCAGTATACTGGACATCAGAAGCAGGTACTGCTCAAGCTACCTGTGCTGTCCCACCGTGGTGGCTCAGAATGGTGCACGTATCTGCCACTACAGGTTAAACTAACTGAGGACCACGTGCAGATGCCCCGCATACAGGGCTGGCAATCCATGAAGACAGGCAGGACAGTCAGCTGAGCATGGCACCTACTTCAGCTGTCCTAGGCAACTCCCCTGCCACTCCAGTCAGTGCCTCGTTCCCATCAGAAGCTCCAAGTCTGCCAGGACACAGATAAAATTCAAAACTCTTACTGATGACAGCTAGCAAAGTTTGCTACAGTAGTTTAAGATGTTGCCTTTCTCTTTCTTTCCTTTATTCTATGTTTTGTTACTGCCCTTTTCCCAAATGTTACAAATTCTTGAAGGAAGCACCCCAGAGCAATGAAGTCCAGTCCAAAGTTTAAGTTGCTGGCATTTCTTGTACAGCTATCAAGCCAGAGTTCTCAGACACTAACACATAATAAGGCAGGGAAGAAAGGCTAGAAGCAAAAGGGTCTTTTAGAAGTTCAGCTATATTTTCCTAGAAACAGGACTTAAAATATAGGTACTTGTGAAATACAGTTACATAGATACCTTTTCATGAATGAATAAAACTATCAAGTTTCCAACTCCTTGCAGAACAGAGCAAAATCACATTCGAATTTTGAGCTTTACATCTAAAGTAATGAAAATGTCTCAAGACAGTTACGTGATTTCACTGTTCCAAGGGCTCATCTGAATTACAAAACTGAAATTCAGAATAGTCTTCTTTTAGGCAGATTCAGTTGAGAGAAAAATTCAAAAGACTTTTAAGTGTCTATAGCTATGCAACAACTACACAGATAGCAAGCCTTATATCTGAAAAGCTAGAGGAAGACCAGATTTACAAAACTGCAACCAAAAAAAAGTATTAGGAATTGAGCTCATTTCAGACATCAGTATTAGCCATAATTTGACTTAAAATCTGACTTTTGCTGACCATAGTTTCCAAATGTGTACTGCTGGAAGTACTGATTTTTCCTACTCTAGCAATGATCTGGTGCTGTTTCTCTCTCTCACCATCATAAAGGGGCACTGAAAGACGATATCTTCTATCCCAGTGTATTAATAAACTAGGCTCTGCACTAAACAAAGTTGTATGGGTATAATCTCAGATTTGCTCTAAACATTAAAAGGTCAGACTGTATAGTTACATCAACATGTTCTGGCTAATATAGTTGCATTCCTGTGAAAATACTACCTCTAAATATGATTTGTGAATCGTGCACACCACCTTTGATTATGAAGTGGTCCTAAAGGGCATTTTTATCTTTAATTTTAGAACACAAAAATAACTTTATGAAATAGATTTGAAAGAGTTACAGAACCTTAGACAAATCAAGTAATACAGCGTATTATTTAAAGTTACAATATTAGATCTCAAAAAACATTGCAATTATGGAAAAAAAGAATTAGTAGGTTAATTTAATGTTAAGATTTCAGCAGTAGCCTTCGTTTGCTTGCATCTCCGCTCTTCTTAAAACATGTATCTGAACCAAAAGACACTCAAAATCATCTGAAAATTCAGATACAAAGTGTCCTCCTGCTTGTGTCACTTTTCTGCTCAAGCCTTTCGCATCCTTGTAACACTCTCTGTAATAGTTCTTAGTGAAAGTGATACATCCTTGAATTCTTAATGCCTCAATGAGTCGTCTTTTCCAACCAAAAGCCAAGCTTCCAATTTCAGTATTTATCAGTCTCTGTCATCTGTAGGCAAAACTAGATCCACAGCTTGCACTGTAATTTTTACACTTAAGGTTAAACCACAATCAAAAGGTGATGGAGAGAAGTCCTCTAACGCCTTAAAAAAGCAACTGCTGCATGACTCTTTACTCCAGTTCTGAGCTGTTAACAGGCTGGGGAATGAAAGGCTATTGAGGATATCAAGTACTTTAAACAAGTGGAAATCAATTTCAGAAAAATAGGAAGTAAATAATAACATGTGCCAGAAAACAGAGAGGAATCAAAACATAGGAAACTTCAAAAACACGCTCTCTGTAATAGTTCTTAGTGAAAGTGATA